CACATACTGAAAGCTGTACCCGTAGTTTCGGCATAAATTGCAATGATCAACACTTAGCGTTAGACAAACAACGCCCACGTTTTGTGCAGATGCGTGAAATATTAAAAAACCAAAACAGAAAATTACTGTAGCATGAGCGAAGCGCGACGCGCATACTGGGAAAGAAATCCATCTGTAGCCCATGGAATTGGCAAAAGTAATACCTACGCTGCTGTTGCCTCGCAAAACAAGCCTAGTAAGCCTTTAACTCCAACTCCCTCCAAAGAAAAACCTGTTGCCCCCTTAACCAAAAATTATATTGCGAAATCAGTTACATCACCCGCTAAAGATAATATTGAAAAAACCAAAACAATACCAAATATTGAAAAAATTGAAACAACAACATATATGCTAAAATCCAATATACTAAACTCTCCAGAATCTCCAGCTCTCAACTTTACTCAACAAACTACAAATGGTAATGAACCCATTCTTTCATCCATTAATCAACCTTCAATTTCAAATTATTCACGTGCGCCCACTCGTTGCGCTTCAAATATACCAAACCACCTAAGTACAGATTATTCTGCCGGTAAGAATAAATCACTCACGAAAAATTCCTATAGCGACCTTCTCGACGGAGACGCTGGCATGGCAACCGAACCCTCCTTCCACTCTGCTTCCATGTCATTACAATTAAATAAAGTTTTTAAAATTCTACAATGGAACTTTAAGGGACTTATTAATAATTTTGATGAACTCCGTACACTCATAAGTGATTTTACTCCAACCTTTTTATCGCTTCAAGAAACCCATTGTAGAAGCTCTTTTAATCCTACTCCACCCAAAATCATATACCGGATACTTCACGAATGATGATCAAAATTCATATTCCAAACAAGGAGTTGGTGTTTTTATAAAATCAAACATACCTCACAAACGCATAAATTTAAGCTCAAACCTACAAGCCGTAGCCAAACAAATAATGTTAAACATAAAATTTACAGTGCTTTCGCTCTATATCCCACCTCCGCAATCGTTTTCTCAGCAAGAACTCTACAATTTATTCTCCTTATTCTCTCCTCCATTAATAATATGCGGCGACTTTAATAGTTGGAATACAATCTGGGGCTCAACAGTGAACAACACTCGCGGTACTTTTTTGGAAAAGACCTTCATCCAAAGCAATCTCTGCGTTTTAAATGATGGAAAACGAACGGACTTTTCAACTCATCACACTTTTTCACATATTGATTTAACAAGTTGCTCTCCGTCTATTGTTCCTTTGGTTTCCTGGTCTATTTCTGATGATCTACATAACAGTGATTATTTTCCAGTCATAATTGATCTTAAACTTTCAAAGTCCTCTGTTACATCAGAAAAACAGCCAAATTCCTCCTAGATAAAGCGGATTGTATCAATTATTCCAAACAGGCCGAGTCATTTTTGAATTCAAAGCCATTTAACGGGAACTGCAACCATGATGCTGCTATTATGTCTAACGCGATTCGCACGGCTGCTCATGTTTCTATTCCTCAATCCAACACCTCTTTTAAACGAGCTAGGGTTCCTTGGTGGAACAACACGTTTTCGTTTCTGAGGAAAAATAAAATGGATCTGTGGCACCGCTTTAAGAGATGTCCTGATTCGGATCATTTGTTATTATACAAAAAGGCCAATGCTCTATTCAGGAAGGAACTACGAAAATCAAAGGCACTTAGTTTCGAACTTTTTTCGAGAGCAATTCACAGAAACACATCAATGAAAGTTGTCTGGAACAAAATCAGCAGACTCAGTGGGACTTCAAATCTGAACGAAATTTCTGCCATCTGCACTCCCAATGGAACTTAAACTGACGCAGAGGAGATTTCTAATTACTTTGGAATAGTGTGGTGCGAATACTCCTCTGACAGTGACTTTTGCAGTGCTTTCATCGAAAATAAAAGGACTCCAATATCTCTTTCAAATAACATTGAAAGATGTGCCATGTTCCTGGAAAATTGCATATCTACCTTAGAACTTGAAAGTTGTCTATCCAAATCGGAGGGGGGGACACCTGGTCTAGAGCGCATCTCCGACCAAATGGTCAGTGCTCTGTCTAATTCGAAAAAAAGAAATTACTGGAGCTATATAATACGGTATTTTTGCGTGGACATATAACCTACATGTGGAAACTGGCAGCAGTTGTTCCAATTCCAAAGTCAAAAAATGTCTCCACCGCATCGATTTATCGCCCAGTCTCTCTTTTATGTTGCCTCTCAAAGGTATTAGAGAAGATTATGGCATCTACATTATTGGTTTCTTGAGTTTAAGAACCTGATAACAAAGCAACAAGTTGGTTTCAAGCGGGGTAGAGGGTGCATCAACGCTACATTACATTTACACATTGATTATTTCACAAGCAAAGCAATTTCCGAACGAAATCACGTAACAATTCTCTCAATTGATTTCGAAAAAGCATTTGACAGAGTTGGTTTTCATGTTATCTTAAGACTCTTGAAATGATGGACCCAAATTCTTCAACTACATCAAATCATTCATGTCACATCGGCGGTTCAAAGTTAAAATCAACAATCATCTTTCTGGTTTCTTCCCGCTAAAGAATGGCATTCCGCAAGGATCTCCTCTCTCTGTCACGCTTTTCCAGATCGCCTTCAACGAAATTACCAAAATTCTTTGCCGTGTACCAAGAGTGGAACATTGTCTCTACGCGGACGATGTATACATTTTTACAAAAGAAAAAGACAACACGAAAGCAATCAACATCCTCGAATCTATTGCACGAGAGATCTCCACATGGGCAAACTCGTCAGGGGCTAAAATTTCTATACAAAAATCAAAAAATATGCACGTTAGTCGAAAACAAATGTACGATGTAGGAAACCTACTGATGCATATTAACGACTTACTAGTACTAAATGTGCAGACGCTCCATGTTCTCGGGCTCACGTTTTCCAATAATTATCGTTGCAAAGAACGCTGTCTTCGGTTAAAAAACTCCCTTTTAGCAAGTGTAAATTTCATACAGTACGTTGCTTGGAGAAGCCATGCGCATACTAACAGTATTGCTTATCTTACCAAAATGCTTGTGTTAAGCAAGATTGACTATGCTTTGATAATTTATGGCAATAGCTGCAAATCTAAT